CTATTATTATTATTATTATTATTATTATTATTATATTTCAATTATTAAACTGTTTTTATCTCAACCCACGCGTTTTCTCACTTCTACTCTTCCGATTCTCTCCCCCATCCCACCGGGGGGCGGGGGGAGTGAGCGAGCGGCTGTGTGTGCTCAGTTGCCGGCTGAGGTTAAACCACAACATTGCTTAAAGATTACCAGAGTGACATGTTAAGGTTTTTAATGTACTGGCATTTCTAAAGGTTTGCACAGATGCATTTCTGAGAAAATTACTTACATGCTTCTAACATACAGAGCAAAGGGATGATGAGTATTTGGAATTGAATACAGTATCCTTCATTTGCCCTCAACCATTAAGCTGTATCACTGCACGCTTCTAAATATATGCTGCCTTCCAACTGGGATGTGCTTCAGTGGTTTGTGAGTCTGTTTTTGTATGGTAAGGATAACGTTATTAGATCATTAGTAACTAGCTCACAAATAACGTTATTACTAGTTTTGTATTTTTAGATCAGGGTATACACATTATATGTGACCTCTCAAATAAAACATGCCACATCAATAGTGAGTATACAAATAGGTATACAGGGTATTTTATACAACATAGAACTCGATGCCTCGTCAGGTAGCAAGATGTAGAGGTTTTATAAGTCTGAGTTTGGGGTGGTTGCAGTAGTATCATGAGTAGTGAAGTATATCAATTTTCATTAAAATGATACAGCATATTGTGTGTGTGTGACAAATAAGGTAGGAAAACTATGGGAAAACTACGGGTTATGCTCTAGTAATGGCCTGTTGCACAAAGTGTGAACCTTTTTTGCCACCTTCCCTCTCATCATTTTGCCCAGCTCGTGCACAAGGAATTTGTTGGGGGCGACAGGAACAAATAGGTGGAAGGGGACTTTTTCCTAGCAGATGTTATGTGTGCTCTTTGAAACAAGATCAGAAATTGCAGTTGGGCTTTTTGGTAGTGTTTTTATGAAAAGTCAAATTTCTCTCGTTTCACAAAGGGAAGTAGAGTCAATGAAAAAGCTGATGCTATTTGCTATTTTACAGGAAAGCCTGCGAGTCTGGATGTGGGAGTGGGAAGAAGTGTGGTGATTTCAAAGTCACTGTTAAATTTTACCTTTACAGCATTATTTTCAACACCAAAAAGAATATATCTGTTCATTCATGCAGTCTTCAATTCCACATATTAAAAAAAAAAAGTCTCAACCTATTAATTTAGTATCTGGACATTAAACCTGATGCACTTGACTTCCACATCTTGAATTAGGTTAGATGTTAATGTGGCAAAGGGTATTTTTCTTAGGTTCTCATCACAACTCCTTAGCAAATGCTGTATGCATAGTAACGGGGTGCCTTGCTTTCCCGAGCATAGTTCAGTTCAATAGAGAATTATTTCATGTACTCTGGAGAAAAGTATCACATTGTTCTTTATCTGTATTTTTAGGTACTGCTGTAGCACTCATTATCCTAGCTTCGGGATTTTTGCTATCAGCTCAGGTCTCGCCAAGAATCACACTTAATCCACCAGATCCTTCACATCAGAACTCTACCTGCACAAAATACAGGTGAGATTTCATGATCATTCATCCAATCTTCTTGAAAATTGTTTCCAATTAATTGAGTTTTACAACCTAGTGTAAGTAATAGACAATTATTCACAAAGTCTAGTACAAGGAACTCAACTAGATACGTAAAGTTAAAATCCTAACTTCCCTCAATAGGGAAAATTAGACTCTTCGCTTAAATGCTCTGAATAATCCTTTGGAGTTTCTTGAACTGAATAAGGTGGTTAAGCGGCAAACTCCACACTTGAAATCTCCTCTATTATACCACACCTGCTGCAATTTATAGTGGACACAAAGTTAGGAATATTTAAAAGTAATTTGTAAGTATGTTTGCTGTTATTTGTCTGCTTGTAGATTTGTCATATGTAACAGCTGTAAACTCTTCAAGAAGATGTGTTCCTTGCCAGAAGATGTGTTCCTTGCCTTTTGTCTTCCTGAGTGGGGAAAAAAAATAATCTTCAGATAATTACAGATCAATTAACAATTAAAACAAATGTGATTTTTTTTTTTTTACCTTTTTTTCTATAGTGGGTAGAAGATGCACTTTCATGTGGAATCATAGTTTCAAATAACATAACTTCTAGGGTGTTAGGAATGTGTCATTTTCTGTATTTTGTGGGTTTTATTCACATGTGAGTGCTTTTATGTTCATTTAGCTGGCAGACTAGAAAATTCCCTTTTGAAAGAAGACTAGTTAAATGGCTGAAGAAATTCTTACTTACGTTCTTGTTTTACATGTGTTTGCAATAGAGATAAATATCAAGAAATGAGAGGTACGCTTCTAGTTTTCCTAGCGATATTGGCTAGAAATACAGTTCATGGCTTTTCGTATGCCAGCACAATGTCTTAGGTGAAAGATTCTGAGGATCTGAAGCTTTATAGACCCCTGGGAAGGGGACAGAAGGTCTTCAAAAGAGTGTGAATAGATGCTAATAACTGCAACATTAGATACTACCAGATATGAGGATCCATACATGCAAAAACTGTATTTTTACTTGTTTTCTACTGCAGAGTCAACTATATTTTGCAATTTTTGAGATGTGCCTATACAGCTTTTCAAATGGCAAGTAATCCGGTTAAAAGATGCAAAGAGGGGAAGAGCTTCCAAATGCTCTCCTTTCTGAATAAGATAACATTAATAGCAGGATGTCAAAAGGATTTGCCTGGGACTTAAGTTAACTATTTAGAAAGGATGTCTGGAGAGCACAGATGCACCATTTGCAGAACTCATTATTTGTTATCTAATAAAGCTAGATGATTATATAACCTGAAACAGTATAAAATCTGCGTGGGAGAAATATGGTTAGTCCACCTTAAGAAGTAATGAAAAATTATTTGACACAGTTTTCATTTTCCAGTTAACCACAGCTAGTCAGGAGGGAAATTTAGACTTGCTATGGCTTGCTCAGTGTGCACTTCTGGGCAAAAACATGAAAAATTAAAGCAGGTAGTTCTAGTAAAGGCATGTTGTTTCATGAATTATTGGAATATTTTAATCTGTCATAATTTCTGTTTCTGACACGAAGTGAGCAAAATTCTGAATAAGATAACATTAATAGCAGGATGTCAAAAGGATTTGCCTGGGACTTAAGTTAACTATTTAGAAAGGATGTCTGGAGAGCACAGATGCACCATTTGCAGAACTCATTATTTGTTATCTAATAAAGCTAGATGATTATATAACCTGAAACAGTATAAAATCTGCGTGGGAGAAATATGTTTAGTCCACCTTAAGAAGTAATGAAAAATTATTTGACACAGTTTTCATTTCCAGTTAACCCACAGCTAGTCAGGAGGGAAATTTAGACTTGCTATGGCTTGCTCAGTGTGCACTTCTGGGCAAAAACATGAAAAATTAAAGCAGGTAGTTCTAGTAAAGGCATGTTGTTTCATGAATTATTGGAATATTTTAATCTGTCATAATTTCTGTTTCTGACACGAAGTGAGCAAAAGCAGATATGATAGAAATTCAAAGGATCTAGAAAAGAGCAATAAAAGAATTGAAATATTTTCATTTGGGAATATTTTGAAATAGGAGGAGCTCTCAGTTTACAGATAAAAGTGAACATGTAGAGGGGGATGTGAAATAATGAGCAACATATGAGAAAGCTTTAGTTGCTCCTATTTTAATCTTATAGTATATCTTGGTAAAGAGACACAAAAGCCAGGAGAGTTGAAACTAATAAATGGATACAGTTGCCCACAGATCACAGAATTAGGCTACAGCACCCGCTATTTAAAAGGTTTTTTAAAAAAATAGGCATTTATATGGTTAATAAGAACTTTCACACTTGTGTATCTAAAACTATATTTGGGATATCACTTTTCATGCTTCAAAACATCACCAAACCCTGACCTTGCTAGAGTCAGAGGAAGAATATTCCTTCAACATCATGAATATTAGTGTGCATTTTGGGAGGTGGTATCAGCCACTGACTCCGTACCAGGAAGCCTCAAAATTCCAGGTGTCTTCAGCCAAAGGAGTAGTAAGTGCAAGAAATATTGTTTGCTTTCAGCATGGATCAAGGGAGGAAAAACATTTTAAACATTTTTTTCTCCAGTGATGTCTCCAGAGGAGCTTAGTTTCGGCATGCCTTTCTGCCAAGCTCTTGTAGCTACACATAGAGAATATATGTTAATCTATTCTTTTATCTAAATTATTTTTGGAGGGGATGACATACAGGCATACATTGTATTTGACTTGGAAAAGTGGTGGTTCAAAATACAGGTATGCCTGCTTTCTGTGCACATGGTTAATAAGCTGAGTGAAATTTAAAAAAATGTTTTTGTCATGAGAAAGTAGATGGTGTCTTCACCATTCCACTCGGGTTAGAAGAACTTCAGCATGACATACATAGTCTTGGAAGGAAGAAGAGGTGGGGACTGCAAACCAAAGGAAAACTAAAGGTTGGGCTGTATTTTGTGGGGCTGACCTCTCTCTCCTTTTTGGCCCTGAAGGTATTCCCCGTGGCTGTTAGGGAGTTGAGTCAAAGTGATCCTCAAATTTGAGGATTTGGAAGTAAAAGTCTACTCTGCATAATGCCAGTCTTGCATATTTTCTATGCTACTCTAAGAATAATGGCATTAAAGAAGCTGTACAAATAGCCACCATGTAGGGTAGCAAATGTTACTGTAGGGATAGTTACAAATAAGATATCCAATCACAGTAAAATGAAGCAACTTAATGGCAGTGGTCTTTTGCTGTTTAATCCATATTTTAGCTTGCTTCAGTATAACTGCTGGTATCTCATATTGCTTAGCATTGTATCTTGCAAGCCTTGAAGAGGTCTCAGAAAGTTTTGGAAAAGCAAAAGACAGCAAGACTTCAGAAGATCAACATGTAATGCCATCTACCTGTAGCCACCGTAACCACTTTTAAATATGTGTGTCTACACAAATGCAGCTCATAGTCTCCTTCATCTAATGGTGGTGCAGTGCTTCTCTGAGGTGAGGTACGCTTAGTCAGTCTAAACCTGTTTGCAGCTTGGCCATCTCAGAGTATGGGCATCTTTCCTAAATATAACTTGTATTTGTCTTTGCCAAAATGTATTTATAAGTTATCAAATCATCAGTAAAATGTATTTTGCTGACAAAAGTTTCACTGATAACTGTGCAGAGTAAAGACGCTTTTTATGTTTGCAAATCCATTGGGTTAGAGTAAGTGTGGGTATCCATTATGGAAGCCTTAGAGCTACTACAGACAGTCTGTTTGTTGTTCCCTCACACTCGTATTCCTCTGCACAGATTAATTCCTGCTGCTAGAATAACAATGAAGATAGAACAGACTAGGAGATAAAGAACACAGTCACTGTCCTGATTCAAAAAAGCACCTTGAATACTACATTCTGAAAGAGCTGTGCCGTGCAAAGAGAGAAAACAGTGCTTGCAGAAAACAAAGCAGTAAGATAGGCTGCAAATATCGAGTAAAATATTTTCATTTGGTGTAGAGACGTATAATATCATAGTTGATCAACAGCCAAAAAATAATCTGTAAATCAGTGAAAAAAATTGAATGTAATCTTCATTCACAAAGACATCATGGAAATAACGCAAACCCAGCAGGATACCCTGGACACTGCAATTCTCTTTGCCTCCTCACATTTGGAAGTGGGTGGGTGTCTCACTGAGGAAAGGCAAGGTGAATGCTCATCTGTGTGCCATCCTTAAATCAAACTCCATTTTCACACTCAACCTGTGTAAGGTTGTATAGATGTTTGCAGTGTGACCACTTCTCTTTGATTGTAATCTCTTCAGCAGCTGTGATCTGTTACTTAACAGATCTGTTACATCAAGGCCACAGAGAAGCTCAGAGGTAAATTTAGGAGTACAAAACAGCATCATCCCAAAATTTGTAATCTTAAAAATTAAAAGATAAGATAGCCATTCCTATTATTATTCTGACTACTCAAAACTCAGTAAACATGTTCCCGTTTTTACTGGGGACTTGCCTGGTTCTGGAAGGAGGTCAAGGTTAGGGCATGTGCACTAGCTACCCTACTGCCTTTTCCCAATCTTTAAAGAATCAAAGGTGTGACCGTTCCACTCTACCTTTCTCTGGGATATTCACCCATTTCTGGAAAATGACCATTGTCCTGTTGCCTTGTATTCTTGGTCTTTTTGTCTCCTTTCATTCATGTCTCTGTCTCTCTTACTGCACTTCTTGAGACTTGGTCAGCTGTAGAAGACATACTGTGAACTTGTTTTGCTTAAGCAATATTTTTCACCTCGGCTACTGTATGAAAATGGTAACTTTTGTGTTAAGCTTAGGTTAACCCTGAGGCTCATATCCTAGGGAGATGATACTTGTGCACAAGAACTTTCTCAGGTTTCTTCCCGAACCGATTGTCTTCAGAGTTTGATTAAAATAATACAGGCGGTGCCAGCTGTGCTGAACACACAAGGGCTCCGTTGTTCATCTTTGAATTAGTCACCCTCATGTGGTTAATGTTCCTAAGCTCACTGTACAAATACACACCACTGAGATGAAAGCACCAATATTT